AATCTATCTCAAACAATTGTTATGGATACACATTATACTATTTCATATTTTTTCAAGAAACCAAATTTTACCATTCTCTGGGCGGCTGTGGCAGAGTGGTTAGGGGAATCGTCCTGGAACCGGAAGGTCACCTGTCCGATCCTCCCTCCAGCTGTCTCAGTTGTTGTGTCCTTGGGCAAGACACTCAACCCCAATGCCTCTGATGTGTGTCCCATCAGTGTATGAATGTGATTGGCACTGATTAGTCTCCATGGATGATTGTACATGTTAGCTTTGTAGGAGATCTGGTAGAGTGCTGTGTGATTGGATAAATGAAGGCACAGATTGTAGTGTGAAACGCTTTTAGTATCCTGGTTGGACAGAAAGGCGCTATACAAGTACAGTCCATTTACCATTCTCCTAAATCTATAACATTTATCCTGCACTTTTGCCATCACTCTCCAGATTGTTCCACAATTACTGTATATTCCCTGTATCGAAGTACATCGTTCCTTTAACCTGGTCTGATGCAGATGGTGTGGTCCTGTTGGCATCATCGTGCCGTGATCTTCAGCTCTCACCGGAGCGGTTTACAGTTGAGTGCGAAGCGGCCGGGATGAGGATCGGCATCTCCAAATCGAAGGCCATGGTCCTCAGTCCGAAAAGGGTGGATTGCTCTCTCAAGGCTGCGGGGTGAGATTCTGCCTCAAGTAAAGGAGTTTGAATATCTTTGTTTATGAGTGAGGAAACAATGGAGCGTGAGATTGACAGATGAATCTGTGCAGCCTCTCTGTACCGGTCTGTTGTGGTGAAGCGGGAGCTGAGTACCCGAGAAAGACCCAGGGCATGCTGGAGAGACTATCTCTCTACACTGGTCTGGGAAAACTTTTAAATCCTCTCAGAAAAGCTGGAAGCAGTGTCTGGGGAAAGAGAGGTCTGAGCCTCCCYGCTCGAGCTGCTTCCCCTCGACCCAACTCTGGAACAAGCTGAAGACAATAGATGGRTGAAAAATTGCCATTGAGAATTAAATGATAAGTATTTTTAATGAGATCAGGTCAAATTAATTTTTAAGGACTTGTGAACAACATAAATATTATTAGACCTTTAAGCCAAGAACTTTGTAATAGAAAAAAACKGCCCCAATTATTCCATTCCAATATTTTGCCCTTGTTTCACAAGCTGTCCAAAAATGACAGCGMTGGGTCTCAAGAGTCTTGCCATCAAAATTTTACTTATGTGAATGTGCGATCCTCATCAGGCAGTGACTCATGCTGTGAAATGACAGCAGCAGTTCCATCCCAGTTTTGAATTTCTATCTTTGCTCCATATGCTCACACATGTACAGTATGACTCATACAGCACGATTAAATAACTCATACAGCACCTAAAGTAGCCAACAAGGTAAACTGTCTACGTTTAAACACCACCACATGTTTTTTAATCAGTTTACTAAAACAGGATGAATGTGTGCTTAAAGTCTGATCTTTTGTCTTAAAGAAAAAAAAATGCATCCAAATTGTAGGAAAAGTTTAAAAATCAAAAACATACCTTGCATTTGATYGCAGGCTGGCTCATTGCCAGCAGCAAAACGTTGAAGACAAAACACGTTTTTATGAWGATTTATGATTTTATTGTAATTCACATGATAAACCCCAATAGAGGGCAGCAGGACTTAATACAATGGTTCTGGTTTTCAGTTTTTCATATACTGATCACTCATAATATTAAACTGACATAGATGTGACATATTTTATGTTTCACTAAGACTTACTGATACTGAAAAAAATGGTGAAAATTTTATTRTTTTAACATATTTCACACAAAAWGTAAGGAAACTGGTGAATGTTTGTTGTAACAATGCTTCTTGGCAATAAATTTTATATCGCTGAAAGGCCTGTTAGTTCCCTTTATAAATGGTGCCGCATTTGTAAGGAACATGCCTTTGTGGGATGAACAGCAGAGCTGAGTAGTTTGCACACATGAAAAACTAGCAAGATCTTCTCTGCCAAACAGCTTATTCTGCTAATGCTATTGACACTTGTTTTGAGCTTCTGGTCCCCCAGAGTGCTGCCAATCAATAAGATTTAWTACCAAGAATCATTGTTACAACAAAGTGCTAATCTACCAAATATGAATTTCCTTTGTTTTTGTGCTAAGTTTAGAAATGTATGAGAACTTGTGTTGAAGGTTGTTGCACATCTTATTGTGTAGAGCAGTCAGGAACAGGGGAAGCTAGCAATCTAATCTGATAAATATATATTTTTTTCTTTTCAATCACGTTGATGACCAAGCCGATGATGCGTTACACTGAAGAAATGAACTTTGGAAACCAACTTTCCAATCCTAAANTATTATATCAACACTGTGACACACTATGGTGTTTATGAAAAAAAAACCTCTGCATAGAGCAAGTTTAAGCCAGAGGAGTAAGTGAGTTTAAGTGGGCCCAAAGAATCCAGTCCCCAGACCAGTGCAGCCAAAGTTCAGAATATTGATGAAAACTGTTCATTCTGTGCGGCTTAACAGCTTCTCTGGAAAAAAAGATTAGACGGGTGAGAGGGAGGGGGGAGTAGAGCCTTTGTCAACACATTCAACCAGGAAGAATTTGTCGACAGAGCCAAGGCCGTTGCCAGGAAGATCCAGATTGTGTAATCAGTTGTTTAAGAACAGAAGAAAAGCAGACAACAACAATTTTCCATCTGCTTTAGAGTTCCAGCTGGTACTCTTAAGGTCGTGATCCCAATCAGACAAATGGTGTGGGCAAAATTCAGCCGAGCCGAAACTATCAGATTCCTCCAAGATGAGTTCCGTCTGCCCAGCAAGTCAAGGGACCCCAGCCGGCCCGCGACCCTCAATAGAACTGCTTACAGACCRAGTCCAGCTCGCTCAAGGCTCAATGTCCGAGTTCTGATAGCATAWGGCCATCAGTCCAGTTGGTCAGTCAGCCAGGAGATGAACAGCCACCGACGCTGATTTGCAGAACAGGAGACCACCAAGCCAATCTGTAGAATCCAGTGATCGGAGTCCAGACACAAATCCAGAATAGAGAAGAACAGAGGTCCCACCTTGACAAGTCCTCCCATGGAAGAAAAAAAAACTTTGTTCCAAAAATTTTATTGAGAGACCAGCTAATCAAATCCATAAAAAATATCCACGATTTCTTATTTCGGATGAAAAATGTAGAGAAGACTCCAGCAGCAAAGCAGGGAAAATAAGGAAGGGCAGGAGAGCAGGGAGAAGTGCCTTACTCCACCGAGAGCGGAATTTTTTTTTATAAATTTAAATAAATTTAATAAAATTA